GTTCAGCTGCCTCTCCAGGGCCGGCGTGTGGCCTTTGGACCAGCAAGCTGAAGCGGAAAACAAGGTCTGAGAACTTGCAACTTGAGAAGATGATGGTTACCAGCCCTGCATTGCCTCAGGGAAGAACAGGAACTACTCTACCATTCTTGAAGTGAAGGTACTTAATGAGAATAGGACAGTGTGGAATGGGGTAAGTGAAGAGAAGAGGATAGAGAAAGATAGCAAGTGAGCAATAGAGAGACAGGACGTTAGTGAGAAACAGATAGGGCTTATTAACTGTTGATGATGACATGTATAGAATTCTCAACTGGATTGGTCTGAGAAGTGTTTCATGACGGGCAAAGTATTTTTACAAGCAAAACGAGAAATAGCAATTGACTGTTTTATAAAAATAATTAGAATAATAAAGATAATGATTGGGGAAAACAGAAAAGATATGGAATGTTGAAGTGGGGAGATTAATGTCTCTGTACTGACTGACGTGCATGGCATTCCCTTTTGAAGAAACAATGTAACACACAGTAAAGTTATATGTAATCCAATGTAATATGAAGAAGATATGATGATAAAAAATAAAAATAAAAATAAAAAAAAAGAGAAAGACTTTCAGAATAAGAATAAAATTTACAAATGTGTTGACTGGTTTTCCCTGCTTTCAGTTTAGCAGGGATTTTAGTTTAACACACATGACAAAATCATACAGAGGACTAAAAAAATAACAAACAACAAAATTCCAAAGTTTGTTTCATCAATATGAAAAAATATACAATCATTGAGCATCAGACTAAGATAGAAAATGTTATGATCTTCTCATAAAAATTCAAAACTAAACTGGAAGACTATTCATGGTATCTGAATATCATCAGTGTAATCATTAAAGCACTAATGACTAGTATTAATTTATTAACAGAGTAATGACTTTCTCATAACCTTTTGATCCAAATTTATCTCGGTGCTCTTTTTTTTTTTTTAATTTTTAAAGAGTTATTTGCTATAGGGCACATGTGCTCACCAGAGACAGAGACTATTCTAACAGCCAGTGGCAAGGAAAGAGAGGAAGGATCTTAAATTCCAATCTGTTTATTTTATCTTTTTTAACTTTTAACTTTTTTATTTTTAATTTTAATTTATTTATTTACATTCATTTACTATACATCATTATAGCATACAAAATGAGATTTTCCATCCAGAGTACACTGTATATTGGCTCAGTCAAGCACATCAACATATGTGTTATCATCAACAAATAATTTTCCATTTCTTGTTTCCTGTATATTTCACTTTTTTTCTCATCCTTAATTCCCTATCTTTCACCCTCTGCCATCGCCCACTCTCCTCCCATACTGTCTCTGGTATCTAGGGTTGCTTTCTATGCCTTTTCCCCATATTTTATTGATTCACTGAAGATCTTAATTAATTAAATATTTTCAATAGCAAGCACAGCTGATATATTTATCTTTTTCTTAACCATAGAGGGATATTTGCTAGAAAAAGATATAATTAAAATGTAAGTAAAAGTGATTTCCATTTTTTAAAAAATAGGAAACGCATGGCTTACTACAAAGAGACAACCAAGGCACCTGCTTCAAACTCAGCCTCAGTTTCCCATCTGTAATATGTCAATAATATTGCTTCCTAAGTGTTGCTTGTAATTAAATTAGGAACTAAGAGAAAGTTCCTGACAGTATTTTGTGTTTTGCTCAACAGGTAATACCTACTATGAGAGCTGCTTTTATCATCCCTTACCATCTCTGAATAGTTTTGAAAATACGCTCACAAAAATTTTAAAGGATTCCTGTTAGAAAGATCTAAGTTCTGTGTAGTCAACACAATGAACAATTTACAATGACATTACAGTAGGTTATGGACCAAAGAAACTACATTCAAAAAACACCTTTTGCTTGGGACATTCCTCATCAGCTGTGGGCTATCCCTTAATATTAACTCACCCTTGAGGACCAGCAGCTGGCGTAATGGCTATGTCACTGGACTCCCATGTAGTTAACTGCAGTTCGAGTGCCGGACACAGCGGCTTAAACTCATGCCAGGCGCGTGTACGTGCGTGCCCAAGATCCCGAGAGGAGAATGGAGGAGAAGGGATTGCGATGTGACCATACACCTGGGGAATAATTTCTTACTTTCTATCTCTCTGTCTCTCTCTTTCTGGCGAACGCACACGCCGTATAGCCAAAACCTCTCCAATAAATTCCCCAAAAAAATGAAAAAAAAATTAACTCAGTCTTTTAATACTTGAAACCTCACTATACATCTCTAATTTTCATTTGACTCAAGTTTTAAAGTTGCTTTACTAATTCTGTTTTCCTGGAAGATGAGACGTTTCAAAATGGATCTAGAAGCTTCTTTCATAAATAAAAAAATGTAAACTTTCTCTCAGAATTCTAACTTTTGAATATATATTCTTGTGTTTTATAAGTATATCTTTCATTTTTTAAATGTTTTAAAGTGATAATAGCTTGAGGCCAGCAGGTGGTGTGGAAGTTACGGTGCTGGACTCCCGCATGGAGATCACAATTTGAATCTCAGACCGGGCAGCTTGCTCTCTCACTTTCTCTCTCTGATGAGCACATGTGCCCTATAAAAAATTACGATAAATACCAATTTAAAAAATAAAGTGATGATGCCTTTCCATAAATCTACCATTACAAAATTGTTTCCATTATGACTGACAGATATTAATTGAACAGTTTCTAACTTATGCTGCACATTCAACTTCTGTTTAATTTTATCCTCAGGATAAATTGACAACAATGGGAACTCTTATTATTGTTACAGATAAGAAATGTAAGGCCCGACGAGGTTAATTTTATACCCAAGTTGTAGAAGACTGGTCTGGATTTAAGTCTATGTCAGCATGCTCTTGGAATATCACTTCCAGTAATAAAAACGTTGTTCAACAACTGGGCCATGGCTAATTTCTCAGATGTATCTGTTTCTACTTAGTGTAAAAAGGACTGGCAATTTAATTTGTATGTCTTCATTAGAGGTTAATACTGGCCTTTCAACTAAAAGAAAGATTACTGACAAAAGCCAGTTCACGGGAAGTGAAAATACAGCTCATCCCGTTCTTTTTTCTCAATCCCTTCTTATAGTCAGTGAAATAAGGATTAACCTCTGTGTTATGTGAGCTGCTGGCTTGTAAATAAACACAATAGAAATCAAGTGGTATTTAATGTAATACTAAAAATAAATGGAAAAAAAATAGAGGAGACAAGTAAGGACAAATGGTCCTGTGTTTAACTATGGACTGTGTGAGCTATGGGTAAATATGGACTATTTCTACTTAGGAGATATTGTAGCTAAAGAGAAGTGATCCTAGACCATGAAGATTATTAAATTCTTATATCTTGTGAAAGATTTCAGGCAACCCATTAAAACTTATGAGGGGTCTTCTAAAAGCTCATAGAAAATGTATATGAATGAAAAAAGTATGGATGGAGTTTACAAAAAAACCTTTTATACACAAATACGCTCTCACTTTAATTCTTTTTTTCCCAGGAACTATTTGAAGTTCCTTCATAGTTAAAATAATTCTTTTTTTCCCAGGAACTATTTGAAGTCCCTTCATAGTGGCACTGTTTCAAAAGCAGCTGATAAGATGAATAAAAAATACTCTCTGCATGAGTCTTTGAGATCACAAATTTCATTTATAAAATTTAAAAAGTATTATAGCTGAACCAGAAAGAAATTCCTACAGCTTTAAAAATGTTAAATCAGTTGTCATTGACATATCCAAGTGGATATGTGTTAGATGTGCTAAAAATGACACGTGTAGGTCAGGCAATGCCAACCTGACATGCCGCATCTGCAAAGAAAATGAAATTTTATATTGGGTTGTCGGAAAAGTCCTGACTTATTTTTTTCTGTGTAAAATTGGGTCATGACTCTTTTGACAACCCAATACATAATTTAATTTTAAGAAAACCAAGCTTGGGACATCACAGGAACGTCTTATTAGCACAGAATATGGATTGTGAGTTTCAGATATATATATATAGTTCTTTTGCTACCCATGGGCCCATGACCTCGCTGGAGAGAGAGAAAGAAATTGAGAAATTATCCCACCCCAGGAGGGAGGGTTAGCCATGCTATAATCTCTTTTCCTCTTGGGATTTTGGGGACTGCATGCACGCACTGCAGCATGGTTTTCAGGTCGTGGCTCTGGTTGAACTGCAGTCAGGTGTGAGATCCAGTGCCTTAAGCTGGGCCAGATGCAGAGGTGTGAGATCCAGTGCCTTAAGCACTACGCCGCCTGCTGGGCCAGATGCAGGTGTTTTAATACATGCAGATAATCAATACTGATAGGCAGACTGAGTTCTAGGTGTTGAGAGAGAAGAAGACTACCGGTGTAAGGTCCAGAAAGATTCGCAGGAACCATGGCAATGGCTGGTTATTTCTCAAAACAAAGACTAGCTTTGCATGAGAAAGGAAAATTCAGAAAATATGGTAAAGAAAGGTAGTTAAGTCGTTTGCACCAGAAATTGCCCAGGTCAAATGGTGTCATCTGAGGAGAAATAGCTGCTGTTTCCCTCTTTATTCATATTAGGAAATGTTTATGGCAGCTCCTGTATTTCCCTACTCAAGCTGTGCTCCATATCTGGTTCTCCTCCATTCCTGATAAACTCTTAGACCCTCTTGTCCCTGTCTACCCATGTTAGGGACAAGGCAGGGGCCTCACGTATTCATACTGTGTGTCTTATCTTATAGCTGCCTTGGGTTCTTCTTTTCCCCTTATTCTCTTGTTAGATTACCTTGTTCACTATGGAAAATCAAATTCCTATATAACAAATTTGAAGAACTACTCAAGATTTCTTATTTTTCATAATCATTTTTAAAGAAATTAGATGGGTGACAGCACAATTTCTTGAGACAAACAAAAAAGAAAAATGACCAGGAATAGATTATCTTTGTATTTTTTTCTAAGATGGTTAAAATAGGTTTCTGGAAAGTTTAAATTGATCTAGAAATTGTACTGAAGAAAGGAAAAGGAGTTTAAATATCATCAGCAATGACAACTTTGCAAATATTTTCTGTAATTTTCTTGGTAATGAAAAACTAGTTAATATCTTTACATAGTGAAAAAGAATTCTGAAAGCAGATAAAAGGATTTTTTTCAGAATTATTTTATTTACCTTTACCTATTTTTTATTTTATTTTTAATTTGACCAGAGAGGGAGAGGGAGAAAGAGTGAGAAAGTGAGAAAGCAAGCTGCCAGGTTCAGCACTCAAACCATGGTTGGCCATGTAGGAGTACAGTACCCTTAACCACCATGCTACCTGCTGGCCCTGCTAAAGGGAATTTTAATGAGATCTGCTAAATTAACAGGGAACCTATAACAAGGACAAAGATGATCTTTTCTCTCCTACGACACTTCTGACAACACGTACCATAAAGACAGCAGAACTCTACTAGGACTTGCTCCTGCTCAGATGTGCTTTACATGTCACAGCTGGACCAAAGGTGCTCTTCTCCACCCCACCCCCTCATCCCCCCACTGCAATGCACCCATCATTTTATCCAAGCCCCACTGTGGTAACAAATCCTCCTCTATGATCTTACCAGTGACAGTGTCATTTAGTGGCTTTTCCCAGTCCAAGATGACAAATGAAGGGCACCCTTCCACCGTGACCACAGTGAGGTTAGTGGGTGGGTTCTGTGGTGGGCTGGTGGCATTCTCCTCTGTGGCTTCCTCTTTAGGGAAACGTTTGACGGAGTCGGTGATGGAGCAGGGGCTGTCGTCAGGCTTTTGGATGTATCGCACATGAGGACCTGAGAGAAAGAAGACTCTGAAATTTAGCATTTTTGGAGCTTGTGAAGGTGAAAGTGAGCTCATAAATATAATTATCGGTCTGAGGATATCTGGCCTCATATTCTAAGCAGATGGTGTAGATAGTTCAAACATGTGAAAAACCAAATTCTGTCCTTGGGATACACAACATGGACATTGTTGTTTTACTTTTCTTAATAGGTTTACTTATGCTAAGACCCAAAAGTAATTTGGTCCCCTGGACCTGGTTTAAACCATCTAATTTAGTTATCACTAGAATCTTCATGCCCAAAGAGGTAAGTGAAGACGTGGAGACATAAAGAAAGACCCAAATCAAATTCTTAAGATGAAAACTACAATATGTGAGATGCAAAAGACACTGAATTAATGTACAATATATTGCAGAATAAAAGATTGGTGAACTTGAAGACATGGAATTAAAACTATCCAAAATAAAAATTACAAAGGAGAGAAAAAAAATAAAATAAAGACCATTGATGAACTGATGACAACTCTAAGTGGTCTCATACACATGTAAATTGATGTATCTGAGGTAAGAAAATAAATGCTGGATCGCACATGGCCATCCCTAATTTGAATCCCTGGCAACCTAGAAAACACATGGGTTTTATGTCCATGGGTGCACCATAACCCAACAGGATGGAGAAGTAGAAGGGATTTGCCGTGACCACGCTCCATTGGGGAGGGGAAGTGCTTTCTCTTCTTCTCCCTCTGTCTCTTTCTTTCTCTTTGGCAAGTGAATGCACCCTCTGGCAATTACAAACAAACAAAAAAACCACCTTTTCTCAATGAGATCAGAAGACTTTACTGGTAAACACTACTTAATATTTAAGGAAAAAGCAACACCAAGTCCAAACTAACTCTTCCAGAAAATTGAAAAGCTTATCAATATTATTCTGATATTAAACCTTGATTTAGACCTTACAAGAAAACTACAGACCAATATCTTTCATGAATACTATTCTAAAAAATTTTGGCAGATTAAACCCAATTTACATAAAATGAGAATACATTATGACCAAGGAGGATGAGTTGGCTAGAATGCAAGGTTAACTTAACACAAAGTTAGCTTAAAATTAAAAACTCAATTATTTCATCATATTAACAAACTAAAAAAGAAAACCATACAATTATCTCAATAAAAGCAGATAAATTAGGTGTAATCTAACATCAATTTCTGATAAATTCTTATCAAACTAGCATAGAAGGTAATTTTCTAACCCAAAAAGGACATTTATAAAAAAATCTATAGGTGGGACCAGCAGTTAGCGCAATGACTATGTCGCTGGACTCCCACGTAGTCGACCACAGTTTGAGTCCTGGACCCGGTGGCTTAAACTCACGCCAGGCACGTGTGCGTGAGTGCTCAAGATCCCAAGAGGAGAATGGAGGAGAAGGGATTGCGGCGTGACCATCCCCCCTGGGGGGTGATTTCTCACTTTCTGTCTCTATGTCTCTCTCTGTCTGGCGAGCGCATGTGCCCTATAGCAAAAACCTCTCCAAAAAAAAAAAAAAATCTATAGGTAACACCATACTAAATGGTGTAATACAGAATGCTTTTTGTTTAAGGTCAAGGACAAGAAAAACAAGTTTTTCTAATTATTTTTATATGCTATTTTACTAAAGTCTTTAGCTAGTGTAATAGGGCAAGAAAAAGAAAGTCACCTAAGCAGCATGGCAATCCCCCCAAGGTTTAGCTAGTGTAATAGGGCAAGAAAAAGAAAATCACCTAAACAGCATGGCAGTCCCCCCAAGGGGTGTTTTCTCACTTTGCCTCTTACTGTCTCTCTATTTGTCCCCATTGAGCACAAGTGTCCTATGGCAAAAAATTAAAAAAGGCAAGATACACACTGGGAGAAAGTATTTGCAAAGCATATACCTGAAAAAAAAAAAAACTACCCAGAAAATATAAAGATTCTCAAAATTCATCCAAAAGTAAATAAACAACTCCATTTCAAAAAATGTGCAAAGAATTTGGACATACCAAAAAAGATTGTAAATAAGCACATGAAAATATATTTAACATCTTTAGCTATTATGGAGATACAAGTTAAAAATATGCAAATTAAAGCCATAATGGGGTGGGGGCAGCAGATGGTATAGTGGTTATGTTGTTGGATTCCCACGTGGCCAACTATGGTTCAAGTCCTGGTGGTTTGAAAATCACACCAGGCATGTGTGTGCGTGCATGCATGCCTAAGATCCCAGGAGGAGAATAGAGGACAAGGGACTGTGGTGTGGATATCCCCCCCCCCGGGGGTGATTTCTTACTTTCTCTCTCACTGTCTCTGTTTCTGTCTCTCTCTCCCTCTCTGTTGAGTGCACGTACCTTAAGGCAAAAATCTCTTTAAAAAACAAAGCATAATCAGATATCACTATATACCTATTACAGTGGCTCAAAAAAAAAAAAAAAAATGACCAGGACAAATATTGGTGAGGATGCTGTGGAACTAGGATTCTTAACACCAATGCCAAAGCTAAAAAAGCACAACCATTGTGAAAAACCATTTGACAATTGCTCAAAACATTAACTATACACTTATGTATCATTTAGCTATTGCCCTGCTATATATTTGTCCAAAAGGAATGAAAGTATATGTCTATAGAAAGACACTCACATGAATGGTCATAGCAGCCTTACTAGTAATATAAAAATGGTAGAAACACCTGAATGTCATCAGCAGACTTACTAACAAAAGGAATTTGTGTTTCCACACAATAGAATACTTGTCTGCCAAAAAAGGAATGGACTTTTGATAAGTACAGCAATATTGATTAATTTCTAAATAGGGCTGAGTGAAAGAAGTTCAAAAGAGAGATAATACTGTATGTTTTCATAAATAAAATGCTATAAAGTACATACTAATTTATAGTACAACAGATCTGTGGTTACTTGGGTTGATTGGAAAATGTAGGGGGTGTGGATTACTAAGGTACTTGATGAAATTTTTGGAAGTGATGCATGTGTTCTTTCTCTTGATTGTAATGATGGTTTCATGATTATAAATATATGTTAACGTTGATAAAATGTTATACTTCATAAAAAATTACAAAAGGAAATACTGGGGTCAACATCATATAACTTTCCTACTGTAGTAGATTAGATTATTGCTCAAAAATACTCTCTATGTCTTTGGGAGAACCTTAATCCTAATTTGAGCTTGGCTATGTGACTCTTTTTGGCCAATGAACACTGGCAGATATAACATAAGAAGGAACTTAAAATGTAGTTGTATATTTGGATACCTTCTCTCTTGACTTCATATTGTCCTAAGAGTAACTTCTACTTCATCCTGAACATCAGAATAAATATGTGGGTTGGACCTGAATCCAGCCCACAAGAGGTCCAGCCATACTCGTTGCTAGAAGCATAGTCACTCAGCCATACACATCAGCTGGCCCCAGTTGACTTTCAGATACATGAAAAATAAGTCTTTAGTATAGTAGGCTACTAAGATTTGTGGTTGTTAGTGACATGGCAATAGCTGACTAATATACCCATGATAAATAGCCTTGTCAAAAATCAAGATTCAGAGCCAATCATACATACCTTTGAATCTGGGCTTCCCAAGAGGGTCAGTTTCTCTTGTTGGGCTTGAACTAAAGTCAGTTATATTACCTGAGAATGAAAGAATATGAACAATTTAGCAAAAAATAAAGTTTCGCAATTCAACAAAAAAGTAGTGAAGACTACAGATGTTCACTATTTTGCCTTATAAATTACTTGTGGCTTTTGTTTCCTTTGTACATATTCATTTATTTTTAAAAATAGGACTTCAACTGTGTTCTGCTGCAAGGTATTCTAGTGGTAAGAAATTAAAAATTAAAACAAAGTAGTTGGTACTCACTAGTAAATTAATATATGTATAGTTAGTAATTATTTAATAGTAATTATTGGATTATCTAGATATTTTTAGGAATCAACAGCACTTGGGTGCTTCTACATGAGCTAAGGAAAAATGCACACTCTATTAAAAAGCATTGAAAATAATGTAATTTTAAAATTGGAAAGATCCATATTAATCATAAAATTGAGTAGATTCAGAGCTGAGACTTTTTCCTCCCTAATATGGAATACTTTAGTACCCTGTAGCCCTGTAGCTAAGCATTCACCGAGAACTCCCTAATATGGAATACTTTAGTACCCTGTAGCTAAGCATTCACTGAGAACTAACGGACTAACCGAATTCTTCTCCAGAGGCAGGAGCTGTTGGTTGCTTTTCATCTGTTTCTATTTTGTCCAAGGGTGTTCCAGTAGGTCTGAGTGTTGCCCTCAGTGGTGGTGAAGTTATTCGGCCTGATGAAATGACTCCTGTGATGTAGAGCCAATTAATCAGGTTATACAGAAGCAATGCCAAGGTTCTCATTTATTTAATAAATCTTTATTAAGCACTTACCATGTGGCTTGGCACTGTAGGTCATGCCTAGAGAGTAAACAAGACCTGATCCATGATGGAGATAGATGTGTGAGCCAAGCATATTGAAGCATTAGAGATATTGTAAAAGGATGAGGTGAGTTCAAAGAGAAGGCACCGGCTGGGAGTGATTATATGTATAGGGCAAGATGCAGGGTGGGAAGGACAGAAATGTCTTCACAGAGGATGTGCCCACAAAGAGAAGTGATCAATAGGAACAGGGATTCCAGGCACAGGGGGTGATCTATGGCCAGAGCAGTAGGACTGAGCAGAAGGGGCTGGTCATGAGAGACGTCAAGGGGCTGAGATGGCCTGGCTTGGGGATTCACTGGCCAGCGTGAGAGAAGGCTGGAGAAGGAGAAAAACAACCCCTAAGCTAAGATCCATGGTTCTGGCCTGATGGCCAGAATGCCACTGAGTGGATATATTCAGTGGTGACTCCTCCACTCTATAAACACTTCTAAGTCTCTAAGACTGGATTGATCCCAAAGTCTAGGCAAGTCTGGCTGTTTAGCGAGGAGGCTAGGTTGGATTTAAGTTCCTTCTAGGGAAAGGAGTCTTCTCAGGCAATAGAGTCAAGGGATTCGAGCCCCCTAAGATCTGTGGCCCAGCCTCAATTCACAGACATGTCTCTCAGATGGGTTGCATGCTCCTGAGAATGGGAGTGGGCCACATGAAGAGAGGGATCAAAAACCAAGAAAAGTGGCACTGCAGCCTGCGTGAGCTTTTTAGAGTTGGTGGAGTCAGGAGGAAATGCTGGCATTGCACCTTCACCTGGCAAGGGGAGGGAAGACTCAGAGGCCTCAGCTGACCTGTAGATAGGGTGGAGAGGAGACAAAGGGCAGATGCCACATGGCAGCCTAAGACTGTGCTCATGGGCAAACATGGGAGGGCGTCAGAGGACTCCCAGACATGTAGTGGATTTCCTGAACCCGGAGCACACATTCTGTGATGTTAATCAAACCAAATCTGCACAGCTGCCCTGCTCGGCTGTTTGGCTGTCAGTGCAGCCATTTCCTGAGTTAGAGGGAGATGGTGGAGACTGGGGAGCAGAGACCAACATTCCTGAACTGGAAAGTGTTTATGAATCTAGTTCAGGCAGACTGGGATGGCAGGAGGGAACTAGGGTTTTATATGGCAGCAACCAAGGCCATTGGGCACTACAGGAGGGTCCTTTAAGAAAAGGATGAAGCTGTGAATATCTTCAGTGACAGAAAGGGTTGTTCTACAGGGAGAAGCAACAAGCACAGGCATGGAGGTGAGAGGCAGACTGATTCCCAAACATATTTCTGCCTTGTTGCACAGGCTCCAAGTCTCCCTGCAAATTTCAGTCCCAGGTCTTTCTGCAAGCACCATATTTCCTGGGCTGGCATAGAGGCTTGTGGATAGTGAGATGTATAGGATTTTATTCCAGGAGGCAGAATGGTAAGTCAACTACAGGACATCACATTTTCCATTACCTCTTGTCTAAAATAATCCACTTGTTGCAAGGCCTAAGTCAGCTGCTACCTAGGCTCCACGTATGTAGGCATCTAAGAGGAAAACCGACCTAGAGGCAGAGGGAGGTTTTGTTTAGTTTTTCCATCCCATCCACCCAGGAGTCTGTGGAGCTGGAATTTACAGAGCCCGTCTCTCGGGCCAATACAAGCACATGTCACATGCACCAGTCTATTGCCTGACTTAGCACACCCAGAGGGCTTGTGTTGGCAAGGAAAACTGAAATTAGGGAGGGAGAGGAAGGCACACAATTAACATACCTGCACTTCCTGGCTTCCCGGTGACATTATTCGGTGGCAAAGGTTTTCTTCGTGGGGGTGTAGGTCTAGGTGGCAAGTGGGGGCGGCGAGTGCCTGGGACTGCAGCTAAGGGATCATATTACAGATAAAGTTGTCATAAGGATTCACTATACTAAAATCTGAGGTGCTAATAACAAGTCATGTTTGATAAGCAGCATTTGGATGTCAGAGGCTAGATCTGTAGAAAAGGACATATATACAACACATTCTGAAATTCTTCCAAATTAATGTTCTATACCCGGGGAGGATGAAGCACATTAGTATATGGAATACATATCCTCTATTTGTAGGTGAAAATAAATAGTTGTAGCTGCCTTTCAAAAGGCTGTGCAGATGTATAGAATTGGCTATCTTTTTTCTTTTCTTTTTTTTTTTTTTGGAGAGTTTTTTGCTATAGGGCACGTGCGCTCACCAGACAGACAGAGAGAGACAGAGAGACAGAAAGCGAGAAATCACCCC